AACAATGCAATACTGGCATCATTCGTTTTCTGGTGTAGCCAATATACGAACTGTGTATACTCGGTTTTTCAAAAAGAGGAAAATGTACAATAACATGAATTGTGTAAAATGCCTGATGAGGCCTGCTGAGGCTGGTTGTCCAAGGAAGGGGGCGGCTGCTTGAAAATGGTTGTCACATCCATTCGGCCTCCAAGGCTCCGAGGATGCATCTTGTCTTCTCGGCCATGTTCACACATTTCATCATTTGATCGTGTCCTCTTTCTGCTCTCTCTCTCCCTCTCTCGCGCCAGCTCTCTCCGGGCGGCGGCTTTGCGCCAGTCGCCGACGACGGCTACGGCGTCGCCTACGTGGCGGCGCTTAGCAACAACGTCTACTTCCACGTCTCGGCCTGGCGACACTGTCCGACAACCAGCTCGCGCAACTTCACCGACACCCTCTTTGGTGTGCTCCGCGGCCTCCGAAGTATGATGCTGGCGTCAGAGGCGAATAAACCGGCTCTAGGAATGTCTGAAGGCCAATGAGGTCAGTCCTCTCATAGCGAAGCCCCCTTGCCTCGTAGAGGTTCTCCAAACCCCGAGGTGTGGGCAACTTCAGACTCGGGCTGCTCTGGTCAATTGCCTTCTTTTCACCATTTTCCCTCCCCGCTCCCAATTTTTCGTTTTATATCCAACAACCTGGTAACCAGACTCGTCTCATCATTGTTCACGTGTGTGCCTGTGTGTATGCACACTGAGGGGTCTGTTTGAGATGCTGGCACTGTACGACGAGACCACTGCACTCTGTGAATTGCAAACATTTCGTGGAGCTCACTCCTCTAGTTTGAGTAGCATTATCTGGACTACAAGCGGGTCTAAGCATTGCTTATGTCTGTAGGCATGTATTTTGAACACTAAGAGCATGTGTATGGATAGTTCCGTCTCCAAATTGTGCCACGATAGAGGCCGTGCCTTCTGATGATGCTCTGATCTGCCCTTTGAACGCAGTTGAGACGTGAGACCTGGTCACTGTATTCCAGCGTCAAATGGATCCATTCAACGCTTTGCTGATAGTATTCGTCAGCAGTCCTGTCGAGGCGAGTCCAGTTGCAGGGGCCCTTCCAGTACGGGGGCAAGGAATTGCCCCATGACAAGCAAAGTTGATGTACCCGTCAGAGGTTACACAATCCATGCCAGTTTTTATGTAGTCTTGTTTGTATGCTTATGTGAACAAATCTACGCTCCCTCTGGATATCAATGCTTGATTAGGTTCATTTGGTCGTAGGCTTCTGATACTAGCGCAATTCTGTGGAGGCTTCCATACTTGCTTATCCAGCCTTACTGTAGCAAATATTCTACTTGTCTGAATCTTGTTCTCTTTTATTTCTACTTTTTCTTACTCGCGAACGTTGCAATTTCGATGCTTGCAACCTCGAGAATCATGCTTATTCTGCCTCCCGGATGCCCAATAATAATGCTTTAATCGCTTTGCTTTTTTGTGCAGGCATGTGATTCATGCTTTCTCACACACTTCACAGCTACTTTATTCTGTAGCCACCCATGGCCTATTTATTGGATGGCAAAAGAGCCTGATTTTTAATAGGTTCTAACTTCTTTTCCGCATTATTATAACTATTGCACTTATTATGCAGCTCTTGCCGGTGTCGCGAATCTTCTGGCCCCTGCCTAGCATGGGTGAAGTTTTCAATGCAGGACTCGCTTCAAATCGAACTTCACATCTCACTCGTGCTTTCGTGGAGTTTCCACTTTTTGGTCATCATGTGTACAATTTTGTCAATTTTTTATTAAAATATTTTAGTTTGTTGAACTATTCTATCTGATGGACCTCGCTCCGAGAAGTGGCTCAGTAGCTTTCAGACTCCGACTCCTCTAAAATCATAGTTACTCGTGAGAACCCAAGCTCGATGAAGTGTTGAAAAAACTTCGATGTTTTACGTCTTATAAGTAGGTTTTCGGAAAAATTCAACTACCAGTCCCATTGTCACTGTAAACGAAATAGGGTGAATACACCTCATATAACTTGAATGTACTCTCCTAACTGCCTAAAGAGTTATTGTTATCACCATTAATAGCCTCGGCTTAACCTCGGAAGGACCAAGAAGCAGCTTTGCCTTAATTACCTTCAATGTAATGAGATGTATTCACCCTATTTCGTGTAAGGTGATGAAGGAATGGTAGTAGAATTTTCCCAC